TGAGAATATTGTAAAATGTTGTAGTTGACTTGTTTATGGATATATTTTGATCAAATTTTATTTATTTTTTACTTTAATATAAAACACACCTTATTACTAATATAATGGTTTAATTACCTTCAGTCTCCAGTTCAAAATAAGTCGATTGCGACCTAGGTTTCAGCACAACGTCGTGCTGAAACCTAGGTCGCAATCGACTTATTTTGAACTGGAGACTGAAGGTAAAATTAAACCATTATATTAGTTATAAACCAGTTCAGGGGCAATTCCACATCTTATAATGTCAAAACTACACCTTATTAGTTTCCCTGTAGCAGCAAACCTAGGTACTCGCTAAACATAAATGTAATTTAATAGATTTTAATTGAAAATCAATTCAGGCAAATGGAAATTCGCTTAGTCAAGAGGTTTGCTGCAGCAGGGGTATTTCTTATTGATGTTTGCAATTACCTGGATATCAGCTGGCTTTTGTATGAATATCAGGGGCTTTGGACCGATCCAGTCACAAAACACACTATACTTGTGCTTCGCTGCTAGCCTTGTAACCTCGATGACATGCTTGGCAAAAGCTGGAGGCAGACATAATGTATTTCAGCTTTTTATACCCTTAATACATAACATTTAACTACCGTATATTTTGTGATATAAACAAAAATTTAAGGCTAGAATTATTTTAAGTATGTTTTTCTAAACGTCTTTGCAAAATTAAAAAATCTAAATTTTGACATAGTGGTAAAATTAATACTTGGTATAATCGTTATTGACAGAAAATTTGTAGTTTAGGAATCATTAGAACCAATGGATGACAACAAATAAATATAGTTATATTAATTACATCTCTCATACGCTAGTTACATATCGACTTAAAATAAAATGCATATACTTTCTGAATTATAAACGAGGGAATTATCCGAAGGACAGTAGTAAGTGCCGATGAGAGGTCGGATGGGGAAGGGGGTAGGCAGCTTCCGAGCCAACTCTTGCAGACGATGGTTCTTCCTTCGGTACAATGCATCCAAGAGGACAAGAAGTAGAACCAGGGAAACACAAACCAGAACGAGACTCCACTAAACATACCATTTATGCAGTTACAAGTAGTGTAGACATATATACACAAGGCAATATTTACTCAATCACTTCATAAAGCACTGTCACACTTTGAATACAAAGATGATTAAATTGAGATGGCCTGTGTAACTTTTGTTACTGACTCAGAATCTGAAACATTTGTTCTACATGGGTAAGATAAGCTGTTTCTCTATCCAGGGCAAATTATTAAAATTCCAACGATCAAGGACAGCTCTGTGTCCAGCTTTTACCATAAAAAAGCTGTTGACTTTTTCAGGAATCAAACTGAAGGCAACATTATGATTTTCAGGCAAGCATTACAACTGTTTGAAATCACTATGTATAGCCCTTGGAAAATCACAAAACTTATAGCTAGTACTATACTAGAAAGATTGAATTGGCAACATACATTTATCATTTCCTCAGCAATAATAAAGCTAGTTTCTAATTTTACATAATTAATTACAATTCTAGAAATCGGACCCATCAAAAACCCACGATAAAATAAAATAAGTGTTAAACTTTTCTCCTCAAAAAGCTCAAACAATTTTACCAAGCTTACCATGGTGGATTCTTGATGAAGGCTGAATTAAGGAACTCCAACAGTAAAACAAAAATATCAACCAATACTGGTTCTTTCCTACAAATGGTTCTTCCTATGTATGGCGGGTGATACTGTAACTACTGTATTCTAGTCTCTTATCTTTTATCATTATACAAACACGACCAATTGAAAAAAAGGGAAAATGTAATCCCCTCTTATGTGAACAATGTTTCCTTGTAAGTTATGTATTGTATGCTTGCACAAAGATCTGAAAAAGTGAAAAACAACCTTTTTTCATTTACTAACCCATGCATATGCAATATTTAAATCTTTATTGTTTTTGTGTTACTTTGACAATTTCCTTCAAATGTTGTAAATAATTTTTTTCTGGCCTAAAAAGGTCAGAAAAAGGATTTTGCTTTACAGCTCATTTGAAAATTTTACATTGGCTTTATGTGTTGCCAAGTAATTATGTTGGTTAAACAAAATAACAAGGAAATGTAGTAACTTAACATGTGTTTTTATAACAAGTCATCTACTGTTACTATATTGAGCAAAGATCCTGCTGAAGATTACTCGATATAGGGGAAAATAGTTCCAATCAAATAATGATTATTTTAATTGACTCCCTCCTACCAAAACTAAATCCCCAAGTACTGAGGCAATTGTTGGTTTAACAGTGAAATAAATATTTAACAATATTATTTGATGTAAATTATAATTGAAACCAACAATTTCAATAAGCTGTTTTAATTTAAACAAACTGTCAAAAGATGTTAATGCAAGTATAGGTTATTATAAACGACAGGTTTTTGCTATCAACTGTTAGTAATAGTATATTTCGTACCTAGGGCCGAAAATGAGGATTTGCCGGCTCGAGAGGTGCAAAACCATTTCGGTCAGGTCCGTGAAGTTGGCGTACCCATATCAGCGTATCCACTTTTGATCATACCAATCGTTAGTTCATCGTTAGTTCTCGATAGTTCCCAAATTTTTTCGTTAGTTCTCAAAAAATAAAAAAGTTATAGCCGATAATAAGTGGGTACGCTAACTTCACACTTCCAGGTTCTAGCGCGCGCCGTTTTCTGATGAGAAATGTTTACATCTATATATCAATCGTTAGTTCTTCGTTAGTCCTCGATAGTTCCCAAATTTTTTCGTTAGTTTAAAAAAAATAAAAAAGTTATAGCCGATAATAAGTGGGTACGCTAACTTCCCAACTATACAATTTCCAGCGGGCACCGTTTTCTGACTATAAATGCTTATATCTATACACCAATCGTTAGTTCTTCGTTAGTTCTCGATAGTTTTCAAATATTTACGTTAGTACTCAAAAAATAAAAAGCTACGAGGCATACAAAGTGGGTACGCTAACTTCACAACTATACAATTTCCAGCGGGCACCGTTTTCTGACTATAAATGCTTATATCTATATACCAATCGTTAGTTCTTCGTTAGTTTTCGATAGTTCTCCAATATTTGCGTTAGTTCTCAAAAAATGAAAAAGTTACAAAGCATAAAAAGTGGGTACGCCAACTTCACAATTATAGAATTTCCAGCGGGCACAGTTTTCTAAATAAAAGTGCTTATATCTATATACCAATCGTTAGTTCTTTGTTAGTTCTCGATAGTTTTCCAATATTTACGTTAGTTCAATCGTTAAGTCAGCTTCAACTCATCAGGTGCAATTTTTTAATTTTTAGGGAATTTCCCTATAGGGAAGTAGCTATTGCCGTAGGTGGCACGGTAAGACCTAGGCCCGGGACCGATTTACTTTTTCATTTTGATGTCCCCAGAGGCCAAAAACACTATTCGTTCAAATTTTTATATATGTATGTATGTATGTATATATATATACGTCCGTGAACGCGATAACTTAAGTAATTTTTGTCCGATTTTGATGAAATTTGGTTTGAAAGTGTAAGGCGGGATAAAATGAGTTCGCGAACCAGCATGATCGGACAAGTTATTGTTTATGATTAGATCGTATTATTTGGTTAAAGAGGTTTTAAATGGCTGTAATAACGGGAAACAAATTGTAAACAAAACACGACCTCTACATAAACCGTACATGAACTAACAATAAAATTGTCTTCAGCTGTTCCATAAGGATGAGAAATCTACTAAGGGAGTATGTTTTATCTATGGTCTTACCGTGCCACCTACGGTAATAGCATGTAATAGCTACTTCCCTATAGGGAAATTCGCTAAAAACAGTAAATGGACGTTAGATACTCATATCATAGACTAACCAACACAAGTAGACTTCTCATCCCATTGTAAATTTGAAGCACGTTTTTCGTGTCTAGTTCATGTACGTGACACAAAGGCGCTAGTGTCGACGAAACTTTGTTTCTATTATTTTAGGGTTAATTTCTTGATTTGTGCTTTACTGTTTGGTTATATAACTAGGGGACAAGTTATTGTTTATGATTAGATCGTATTATTTGGTTAAACGAGGTTTTAAATGGCTGTAATAACGGGAAACAAATTGTAAACAAAACACGACCTCTACAGAAAAACGGACAGAACTAACAATAAAATTGGCTTCAGCTGTTCCATAAGGATGGGAAATCTACTAAGGGAGTATGTTTTATCTATGCTCATATGATGGAGTGATGGAGCATTGAAGCCTATTATTTCATCACAACAAGTTTTATTAAATAGTTAGTTATAGTCCATTTTTTAAAATTCAAATTTAAATTAGAAAAATATTGTTGGTTTACTATTTTGTTTGCTCTGCTCTATTATTGAACAAAACATACTCCCTTAGTAGATTTCTCATCCTAATGGAACAGCTGAAGACAATTTTATTGTTAGTTCTGTACGGTTTATGTAGAGGTCGTGTTTTGTTTACAATTTGTTTACCCTTAATACAGTCATTTAAAACCTCGTTTAACCAAATAATACGATCTAATCATAAACAATATATTGTCCCCTAGTTATTTAACCAAACATTAAAGCACAAATCAAGAAATTAACCCTAAAACAATAGAAACAAAACTATGTCGACACTAGCGCCCAGTGTGGCGTACATGAACTAGACATGAAAAACGAGCTTCAAAATTTACAATGGGATGAGAAGTCTACTCTCCCACTCACACACCTAACCTAGTCTTACTCTATGGCGGTTTATTACTCAATGCTCTATCCAAAAGGATTTGGCTTCTGGATGGAACATGGAACTGGCTTCTGCTAAGTTTTGTTCTTTGTTGTTATTATTTTATATCATAAAAACTTCATTCACACTATTCACAGTCTTCAGTCTTGCTAAGTCAGTCAGTAGGCTAGGCCCTAGTCAGTAGTTAGTCAGCAGACTAGTCAGAAAAAATCAGTCCGGTGAATGGCAATCGGTAGTTGAAGTTGATTTTATTTTTATAAAAATAATGTTGAGTTGAGGCTTCAGTCATTATAGATAGGCAGGTCGTCTAGAATTTCATCAGTTTGTTTTGTAGCCTATACGGTATTTGGATTCTAATTTTGGTAGTGTTGGCAGATTATTAAAAGCCTCTAAAATAATTATAACTGCCAGCTCATGCTTATTAGAATAGCCTAAGTTAAAATTGTAAATAATTTATTTCTCACTATTCAGTAATAAAAAAAAAATAAAAAAAATGGTAGGCCTAGGCTTATGAACAATTAATTAGGACTATGGTACATTTATCAACCTTGCCCTTCACCCTTTAAATCATAAATTAACTTATCTTTTTCATAGACTTTGATAAGGAAGGTTTTTAAAACCTAGTCAGAATTAATTATGCAGCAAATTCTGTGGGGAAAGTTAGTTTTGGTTTTGGTTGCAATAGTAGCCATTTTACAAGTTGTACATCTAGTACTTTTAAGTCGCCTAGAGGCTCGACACCACATGCATCACCATGTTCATCGAACTGCCTCAAATCCTGGGGACGGTTCTGACTCTCAGATGACGGAGGTAAGTTTAAGTTACCGGTTATCTGTTGTCCTAAGCTTACTCCCTGAGCTAAATATACACTGGAGGTAAACTTAGCACTGAATAAGAAAATTGAGAGACGTTGACGACCATATGTAAGTTACTTAGGGTAGGTACTGTATCTAACTTAACTTAGTACTTACCTAACTTAACTTACCATTGCAGGCATAACTTAGGTAGGCCTAAGTTTAGACACCTGTGTTCAAATTTCACCAACCACCATGGATTTTATCTAAACGTGTTAAAGCTGCAACACTTTAGGTCTGTGACTTAAGGCATAGCTGTTCAGGCTAGTGCCTATCGCCCTAGGATGTAAAGGAGGGATATAAATAAATACTCAGAGGATACACGTCCGGTAACAGGACGTGGATTAGGCGTCCGGCAGTTACTGTCATAACCTAACCTAACCAACCAAACTTGTTGATAATGAAAAAATCAAATGAAGGTTCAATTCTATTCATAACATAAAATTATAAATGCCAAAAGTTCTAACAAAAGAAGAAATTACATTCAAAGCAAAATCTGTCACAAAAAGTTGAAGAAACCGGTGGGTTTCGAACCAGGGACCTCTTGGATATCAGCCGAGCACTCTATCCACTACACCACGAACAACGCTGGCCGAACATTGTATCGTTGTGGTAATGGCATTCCGGGACCCCACAACCCGGTGACGTCACTACCGGATGCCTAATCCACGTCTGGTTACTGGACGTGTATCCTCTGTGAAACAAATAACACACCCTGGAATATAAACTTTCTTGCCCAGAGCTGTAGAATCCAGCTTCTGATCTTATGTGGACAGCAGACTTTGTCATCCGTTTTTGCACAACCTATAAGATTCAGAATGTAGTCTAATTTTCAGGAGGTGCTTATTTAGTGACCAAGCTGTGGCCAATCAGCCAACATCAGACTTAGGCCTACGTCCCTTTTTTTACAACTTAAAGGTGGCATACTCGTCAAGTTGTATCTGCAGATTTTTAATAGTCAACGAAGATACAACTTATGCAGACAAGGAAGGATACAACTTGATGTTGACACACCGAAATGCAGCAGATACAAAGACGGTGACCTGTTTTTTGTGGGTGGATTTAATTCCCAAGAGAATGATTTACTACTTGATATAAGGTTATAATTTGAAATCTTTTCTATGTAAGGATCACTTTCCAGGTCGACGCTGTGTTTGGAACCCTTGTTCGTACTGTGGAACAAGGCCGAGTGCTTGATTCCAGCGGAGAGTTCCAAATAGTGCCATCTATTGCAGCAGCCACCAAACAACCCCACCCAAGAGGCCTCATAGCTGCCACGCCTGATATAAGTCTGGTCACACAGTGCTCGTTCAATCACGTTTATCGACTTATTGAGCTATCTCAGAGGTGGCAAGTAGGTTACTAAATTAAAGTAATCAATATTTAAGTTATCACTATCTTCTCAAAGTGATTACTTTTCAAAACAGTAATTCAAGGAATCCTCTCCAGTACAATCACAAGTTGGCCTACATTTCCAACAACTAAAATTGGCTGACCAACTGAATGTTTTTGTGTCAATGATAGCATTTTAACCAAACTGTTTCATTAGAAACATTTTTGTGTGGTTGAAGTGTACGGAAATATAAATTTATAAAATAATGAAGCTGTGATCGAGTTTTTAAACTTGTATGAATGGGACCTGTATAGTGGAATCTAATACTCGAAGACCAGTTAGGCAAGTTTTTTTTAATTCCCCACTAAGGGACACAAAGTATGCTAGCACATGCCAACTCTTTATCTTTAAAAGTCGCTTATGTTAAAAACACTAGGCACTAGGCACATTCAGGGATAGCTATCAAGCTATCACACCTCACTGTCATTTAAACTAATAATGCCTCAATCCTTTGGCCTTTCTCTCCAAGCCCATCAGTGGCTCTTAAATCTACAATCCACTATTCGCCGTGAGGACAAGCAGGTTCGCAAACTCTACTCGAAATTGACCTACCATGTGTTGTGAGAACGAGGCTTCACCCCCACCCACCCAAGTTGTTCGATCATAGTTTGGAAAATGCTGCACTGTGAACAATCTTTAGTTTGATTTAGTGGTTAAACATTTTATCTAATTTAAACTTTTTGGAGAGTATAAAAATTGCAAAACCCATTATAAACAACAAACTAAATTATACAAATAGGCTAAACGTAATTTTTACAAATTTTTGTGTGGTCTCAGTATTTTACCCATACCTTGATTGAGAATTAAATATCACTTGTTTTGGCAGGGTCCGATATCAGTTGCTGTGTTTGCCGAGGATCACCAAGTTTCCGAGGCCCTTTGGAAGGTTGCTGAGCTGAGAGCTTGTATGCCTGGTATAAGACACAACGTCACCTTCGCCCTAGTCTCCCCCCTACCAGCCAAAAGCTCTCCCCCTCTCTCCATGCCTTCCCCCCCACCACCTCACCCTTGCAGTCTTGGTAATGATATAGACACTGTCACCACGTCCACCAACTACGCAACAACCCACAACTATCCAGTGAACTTGCTGAGAAATGTAGCTCGAAGAGGAACTGCCTCCGAGTTTGTTCTGGTTATTGATATTGACATGCTGCCGAATGAAAATCTTCGTCAGGTAAGTATCTAATCTATGTTAGCCCTATAATAAATAGATGTGTTACCTAACTTACTTTATCATTGTAGTATAATATGTAATTAGTTTTCCTAAATTGACCTTCCTAAATTGACTAACATTTATAAACTGATCGGTTAAGGAGACAAGGCGATTTCAGATAGGCCTAAACTCTTTTTCTCTTACGGTTGGAATCAAAGGCTAAAGGTTAAAATACGCACATCGTGTCGTCCCCATCTTAAATAATTGATAATTGTTTAAAAAAGATTACAACAGTAGTTTTTTACGTTGTTGTAACTAGCTGTTACCCACGGGCTTCATCCCGTTTGAATTCATAAGTATTAATAAAACTTTTGATTTGCCAAGTTAAGCTGAAATAAACAAAACAGAATACAGTAATACAAACAAATAATCACAAATTGAAAGAATAGTACCGTACAAATAAGTACAACTGAGGTATTTATAACATTAGGTATAAGGAAAGTTCCCTTTAGAAAGGAATTAAACAACCTTAAAGGACAATTTATGAAATAATGGATAGTTTTGCGCAAGGTTTCGCGTCATGACGAATATTTTAAGTTTATGGTTTATGGGGGTGTGACTTATAGTTTTCTCAAAAGTTCATGGGTACTTTGGGATTTATATATGGATTACTGTTAACTAAAAACATCTTACATCCTGTACAAAAGTGTGTACAACAGTACACACATAATATATTTCTTTAAGTAATTAATGATAGTTTTTCAACCTTTATCCTCACAATTCCTGTGACAATGAGCCAAGCCAAGCCTGGCCAACTATCTGCACTCAGGTAAACATCTTCCGTTGCTTAGCTTATTTCCCATTAATTTTATTATGATTTTGGTTAACCTGGGTTTAGATCTAACAAGATGGGTTAAAAGATTTTTTACTGTAGGCTATATTAAGGAATATCCATAGACAGTTTTTGCTCCTATGGAACTTTAATTAAAATCCCATGGAGAATCAGTGATCTATTGTTACTTATTTATTACCAAGTAGGATTCTGTAAGAATTAATTAGGGATTAATTAGGAATTAATATTTCTAGAAAAAAAAAATTAATACTGATAATCAAATTAGATTTCTTTCAAATTTATGAATTGTTCTCAAGCAGCTTTGGTTCATGTTATATAGTTTTCAATAGCTATTTGGTTACATTATCAGAAAGAATATTTTTTTGATTGCTTTAGCTTGTAGTACGGGTAAAATTGTTGACAAATTTTCAGATTACTATATTAAAATCAACTTACTGCAGTGTTGTAGTAAAATGCCTACAATAAAGATTATGGGCCTTAATTAAAGATTGTGGGTGTACAACAAAAAGGTTGTACACCTAATGGTCATTAAAAGATGGAAAATATTAATTGTAATATAACTATTACTTTCCTTACTTTTAAAATACAATTCAAATCATTCATTAACACAAATAAATGCTACATTAAAACTGGTTTTAACCTGTGCAGGATTTCTTTGCATTCGCATCTCAGAGAGGACTGTTTCGTAAACGAGAACATGATGAAAAGAATGTGTTTGTTGTTCCTGCGTTTGAGGCGAAGGAAGACACACCTGTACCTCGTCACAAGGCAGAGTTGCTGAAGTTGGTGGAAGCTGGGGATGTGCGGCCGTTCTATGTCCAACTTTGCCTCAAATGTCAGGTGAAGTGACGAAATAAGCTTCTGATGGGTCACATGTCAAGTTATATGAATCAGAATCAGTTCTGTCCAATCTCTATCTAGAGATTGCCGTGTTGTTGAACTGGCGAAAATACTGGCTGATTTTTAAAATGCATTGTAGCAATCGATTGTAAACACTGGCCTGTATTTTGTACAGTTCATTGACAATTTGACCAACTACATTGACTTAGGAAGCCTGCCCGACTACATGTTCGTGTCAATACTTATTTACAGAATAAAAAAGTATATATTATTCTAACGCTTTCCTGTATGAGGATGCAAACCATTTAAGTATGTATAATGTAAAGTAGAGATTGCTTCTGTTTCTATCTGTAACTATTTATTCTGGGTCATCTCCACACCATCATCGCCATATTGTTGTTTGGAGGTTAACTGTAAAAAAAGACCATGAGGTCTCAATTGCCTCAATAAAGAAGAATTTTCATTAATTCATTAATTCATCTCCTAAATACCATGATTGAATTTTTTTTACCAAGGAAGGCCACCTTTTGGTTTTGTCAGTTTGTTAATTTATCCAAACCTTTTTCATGTGAAATTAGTAGTAAACATTAAAACGCCCAAGTATGATGATTAAAACCATTTGGGTAGGCTATCTGTAATATTATAGAATTAAAATGTATTTTGTGACTTCAAGAACTATTTGTCTTGAGCGAATACAAAATTCCTAAACCCACTAGGCAGAAAGCCCCTACAGTTCCCTGTGTACAAGTCCCTAGTGTTATTTTACACTTCCTCAAAGTTAACATGAATGGAGCACAACAATTTCAAAATATGTGAGGTTATACTAATATTCATTAACTTATGATGTTAACAGGTGCACACGGATTACGAGTCTTGGCAGAAAGAGCCCCCAGCCCCCGAGCTGGCTCCATTGTTCGAAGTATTGTGGAAGGACCCATGGGAACCATTTTACATCGCCAGGAACACGATACCATTTTACGACGAACGCTTCAAGCAGTACGGGTTCAACAGAATTAGTCAGGTAGGCCAAGTCTTTAGTTAACTCGGAGTCTCTACTTTCAATAAAACAATTAAAAAAGCTGGAAGCTTGTTGAACCCATGTTTTGGAACAAAAACTTACCTCAATAGAAATCTCTTGACAAAAAAAAAATTGAAGTAAAAAGTAAAAAAAGTTGGATGGTAAGAAAATTAAAAAAAATATTGAATTGAATAATTTTACTCAAGGGAACAATTTTGGCATGGAGGCATTTGGTTAGGACATCACTATAAAAACTTGCCTATCAGATGGTTCAATTACTTCTATGGTTCTACTTTCTCTTGTTTTATTATTTTTATGCTTATATCTCGGTTCAATTTAATTATTTGGGACATCTGTTTGGCTCTTGAGATAGTATACGATGTTGGTGATGTAGGCTATAGTTTCATTTAACGGTTAACACATTTTTTGTTATTAATTTCAGACTTTTTATTACAGTACCAGTAGATTTACCCTTGCTTTGGAATGGAGTAGGCCTAATAACGCTAAAAATATTTGATTCTTTAAAGCCACTAGAAAATATTACTAATACTTTACACTTCACCATTTGATAGAAACTCATTCAACTTTTGTACTTAATTGTAGCTAATAATTTATTTATTTAGAGAATGTTATTAAATCATTAATGACGTGACATTTGTCAATATAGTATTATAATAGGTACTCAAAACTAAATGGTAATTTCCATTAAAAAAACAAAATACCCAACCTACCCGATTTCTAAGCTACTTATCATTCAAAGAATAAAGTGGTTTAGTCAGCAACCTACATCTTTTCTTGGATTCTTGTTGAAATTTTTTTATGATCATCAACCAAGTTGAACAATTTTGGTCCAATACATTGCAGTGATGTTTCAAATAGTATTAATCTATGGCTAGTAGGATTACTTTAGTTCTTATGTCTAGTGTTTTACATATGGTTTGTGGGATTCTTTTTGAAAACGGACAAGTTGTTGAATACAGAAAATAGCCTACTGCTTCTAAAATATACAGGCTGTAAAATATTAAGACTTGAAAAAAGCCTGAAAGATGATTTTACAACTTCTTAATGCTAAATTATAATTGCCTTCTTTTGAATCCTCAAAGTTTCAGTACTTTCTCGCACTGGAAAAATATTACAAGTAAGTGCAGTTGCAAACGTTTGCCGGGGATAGCTCAGCCTACAATGGCTGGGTAAAGTTCCAGGCTCTGCGATAAGGTCAGGGAAACCACTAGGCCAATAGCCGGGTCTAACCGGTATAGGACAGGCTCATACACGGGCACTGTGAACAAGTCAAAAACAAGTCATCAAAACAAACGTGCAATAATCACCACCAGGCCTAAGCTGATTCTCCACTCTCCTAGGGGGTCGTTGCTGACTACGCAACTCAGGCTTCGTCCTAACTATCTAATAGTTAAGCCCAGAGTGCCTAAAACACAGTGAGTTACACGACGACTTGCCAGTAAAAACCACAACGCGAGTTATCACCAGGCGGGGTCTACTCAGGGCTAGAGATATACAAGGGCTAGGCCACGCGAGCTCAGAAAGTGATGCCAGGTGGCTCCCCACCACTCCGCCGCTGTGACATCACGGCGATACCTCGGGCTCCCGGCACCGTATATCTTAGCCTGTGTGAGCGCTGGTATTACCGCACATTTAGCGTTCATTAAGCTCTATGTTGGACATTTTTTATTAGGTATTAATGTATTTTATAAAAGTAATTGATTTTCAAATAGGATTACGTATAACATCAATTTTAATAAATAAAAAATTATTAACTTTAGTAGATATTTAAGGATGGGAGTGGAATGTAAAGCGATGGCTAACATTACTGTAGTTATTGATCCAATGCATTAAAGTTACTGTGTAATATCTGTGTTCATATTGCTCGAATGTATCTTAATATATGGATTTTTTATTGTATTTGTTTATTACTTATTCATACCTTTTAGGATTCATTGAGGTTATATAAAATACATTGAGGTTGTATAAAAATACATTACCTATACTTAGTATGTTGTAACTTTTACAGGAAGGAAAAGAATTTCAATGAATCAATTACATTTTATTATAGGCCCTACATATTTCAATACATTAAAATAACATATAGTTGCAAAAATACATTCAGTTGCCTGACTAACTAACCTCAATCTCTGTTGACCAATAACTAAAAAGTCGAGTTTTGGTGTGATTTTACTTCATCAGTTTACATTGTGATTTACGTTGTAAATATTTAGTTACGATATTATTTATTGTGCCTCGACTGTAATGTGACATTACTTTTAGAAACTTGAGACACTATTTTTTAGCCAGTTTTTGTGAACTTCATTGACTGTTTACCAACAACGAATATCACGGGTTTGACTTTATCACTTTAATCGTATTTATTAGTTGTAAAATTGTACTTATTTAGTTTATAAATTGTTTTATGTGGATATACTTACTTAATTTGAGGCCTGGGACATTACATTTAGCCCGTTTTTGAAACATTTCGTCATAAATAACAAACGATTTAATCGCCAAATGAAAAAGGCACAGCAGCATTTTATAGAAAAAACTATAAATATTTATTTTTGTATATTTGTCTTTATAACTATGTATATTCATGTAGGGGAATAAGTTTACTTTCATTTTATATAGTTGGTTTGGGTTTTTAAAATAATATATACGTGTGAATAATAACATGTTTTTCTAGACAAATATAAAGACAAATATTTTAATAAACATTTATTAAAAGTCATAAACATCTATTGAAATGATCAGTATACATAAACAATTCTTACTTTATTTGATCTCCAATGTTATTGCCTAAAAAGTTTTACTTTTACTTTATCTCTTTATAATACATTTTTTTAGTTTTTATTTAAAATTTGTTGTGCAAAATCGTGAAACTTGTCATTTTATTGTTATTGGGCCATAACTTTGTATGGTATGTATTGTAAAATGGTAATTGGAATCTTTTTACATTTCCATGTAGGGAAATAAATTCCAAACAAATTGTATATCTTATGAAACATTTTTGGTTCATGCAGCAATTTTTTTACCTACTGACAATATTTTCTACAATATTTTTAATATTTATTTCGTTGCCATTTTTAAATTCTTCATTTCATTACAAACACTTCAAGTTGGAGATAATAAATACGGTTCGTAGGTTTGATCTGTTGGTTTAATTTATATGCATTTTCGAAAATATGACTGCAAAATCGCCAAAAATGCCTTGCCACTACAGAGTTCGACCTTTGCAAGTTGGAGGGTTAACGAAACCCGCTTTAAAAATCACACTATAAAACTACATTATTATAAACACAATTATTAATATGCGCGTAGATGCCGGGCGACATATGCACTGCCGTGCTAGGCCTCGCACCAATGTATCTCCGCTACGTCACTGAGGAGGGGCAGGGGAGGGGAAGTAGGATCAGGCGGCGACCGCTAACATCAAAGGAGTGAGCCAGCCCTTGTATATCTCTAGCCCTGGGGTCTACTAGGCCACTATAATCCAATACACAACTCTAATGCCCAAGCTAAGAATCAGAAAGTTCACTCAATAGTAATACCATATTATTATATATGGCCTATAGTATACTTGTACTATTGTACAAGTATACTATAGGCAGAGTGACTAAACCTCTAGTAGCTGGTCTCAATAAATACCAAGCCAAACAAGCAAAGCTAAATGTCAGTTGCACTACTATTAAATTATTGAGCTACTTAGTAGCAGATTAATCAATATTAAATACGTTCCAAACACTCGATAAATATATTATTTGATAGCCGGTACTCCGCTATCCAAGCTACCAAACCAACATAACGTGTTGGATTACTAAACAAGCTGTTCAGGTTAAATTAAAATAATCAAATGATTAATCAATAACAACCCTACTGCTACTACTACTACTGCTACTATATCAGCGTTATATTACTTAGCTGGGCTTCTGTTAATAGGCTAATAAAATTAGCTACTAGCCTACTGGCCACGTGCTTCCAACTAGGCACGCCAAATCGTGCAGCCTATGTTTGTCGGGCCTTAGAGTTATTAGTAATGTAACTAACTCTTGGTTCAACGCAAAATAATATCTACTACGGTCAATAAAATATATTATTTGCGCTTTAGCGCATGCCCAGAACCGTCAGGAATATACTTTAGTATTATTCCTGACTAATAAACAAATCCTAACTACTGTCAGGCTTTGACCAGCACGGTTACAACTCTAACTCTCGCAATAAAATCAGAGATTGATATTATCAAACTAATAATATCAACTCCTTAACCAAAATTAAAAGAACGTCGTCCACTCACCAGTAGCGGGTCTTAACCCAACTTAACACCGACACTCACTGTCCACCAGTCTCTCTTCACACCACCAACGTACACAGGACACTCGTCGTCTCCACAGGACACCAACACTAACTTCCTCACTGTCTGGGATCCACGACTCGAATGTCCGTCCTAGGCTACCCTGAACATCTAGGATATCCCAGGCTTATCGGTACTGATAAGCGGGGTCAAAGGGCGCTAGCTAGCTTTACCATATTTGAGTCTTGTCAGGGTTCAAGGTGGCTGTATATTAATTTAAAGGCTGTATATTTGGGGTATAAACCATTTCCACCAAACCAGTCACTTGGAGTGGCCAACTCTGTATCTACTGTGTGCTGCAGGGATTCACCATCGGGTCCTTTGCATAACATCATCGTGCCATCAGCAAACTAAAAGATAACCATCTTTGACATCTTTTGGTAGGTCATTTACACGTACAGTAGACCCCCTCTTAACCGACCCTAATGGGACCGGACCTAGGTCGGATAACTCAAAAGGTCAGTTAAAACGAGCAATTCCTAAAAAAATAACATAATTATTTGCTGTTCATTTGGAATTGTATAATCAATGTTTTGAAGTTGTACTTGCACTATTTATAAAATAAACTACATTTATCTATTTTTATTTGTATTGATAGAAACGTCGCAAAAAAACACAAAACACGGTTACATCAAATACTTTCAGTGGAATAAATTATAGTTGTAGGCAAGGATCAATAAAACTTCTTATTTTAGTTCTGTAATATTAATTAATGCTTGTCAAATCTATTGTAATACAATACAGAACATTTCGTCGAAATTAAAAATACTAGCAAACATTTTATTTCTAGCAAAGAAAATATTGTGATTACGAGTAGGTAGTGAACAAATACGGAGGGACAGACAGGCATCCCATTTTTAAAATAGTGTGGATAGATGTTTTTTTCCAATTCACTCCAAGAAAATTTAGCTTGAGTTAATTTGTCAGCATTACTCTGTCCAGTATTTATAGCAAGTATCAACAGGTTGAATTTCAGCTGAAGTGGTGTTTAGGTGTGTGAACTTCACGTTGCGGGATACAAGTTTTCCGTTCTCAACAATGCGTTCCTTGTCCACCGAGGAGTCAAGACTCATTCCTCGTTCCACCCAGAGAAAGATGCAGAACTCGAGAGGAACCGAATGTTATTCCGCCAGTTCAAAATGGAACTCAAGTCTAAATACCCGGAATCGTCTAGACGATGCTACTAAACCTCTGTAACCTTATAGTTTTAATTCTATAAAACAGAAAGCACATCTAGTAATACTCTGTGCACTTTTGAAGTAAATAACATATCTACTAGAGTTTAAGTTGTGGTAAGTGAACAAGCTTTTTTTGTAATAAAACGTTATTTTGCTGAGCATGATGTAAGTTAATAGGTATTACGGGACATCTTAGTGACTAAAGATCGCGCCACTCATCTACATTCATACTTGGCTAAAAAACCTACATTCGTATGGTCTTCGTTTCAGAATTAAGTATTAAACTCCCTGGAAAATGTGCACTAATGTGGCAAAAAGATGATCCAGATTTTATAAACCCCGGTTTCCTAGAACTCTTCTACACACTGTGATGTTAAAAGATCTATTCTGACTCTGTCTCTTGGTTAATGTTTCCATGATCAATGCTTAATCCACATTTGTAATTAATTATCTAATGGGGTTTCTATGTGGGATATGTCCCTGATTCCTATTTGGCATCTGCCAAAGATTTAACCCTCTTTAGGCCAGGCCATCGGTTTGCATGTGATGCGCTATGGGCCTGAGTGATAATTGCACCCTTTTTCATGGTGGGGGAATTGTTCTCTTCTTTGCGCCCCTAGGCCCATTTATGTGATGCAGGAAATCATTCAGAAATAAAAGAAAACCAGCAAATAGTGTTTTAACCCTTACAGATTGTTATTTGTCAATTACAAAATTTATCATTACACATTTTATTCTAGATTTTGCAGTTTTTAATTTTTAGGGATCCCGATTTATGAGAGTTTTCTGTACAGTGTTCCTGATTTTTTTTCTAAAGAAAGTATTACATCTTATAACTCTGAATAAATCAACATGATTTTTTTTTAATTTATAAAAAGTCTTCCACGTAAGTAGCGATTTTTACAAATAATCTTTATGTTCATAAATATGCAAGCATTTGGCTACCTTACAAGTTTTCCGAACCCCAAATAAGTACGTGGTTATATTTTAAAACCCATATGTAATCCTTATATTTAATTCACATGTTGTTATTTTAATCTAAACTATAAATGGTTCTAAACTGGACAGCACTTATATGAGCAAATATTTTCTAGCTGTACAATTGTAATCAAATTTAGTTTGAAAGAATCTGTGATATTAATTACGTAGTGTAGAGTTAATGTACATAGAATTACCCAAACAAGTGTTTTGACAAGTGGTTTTAAATGTCTAGTAATAATCAAATTCGACGAAACAAATATCTAGTACAGTGAAATTAGACCTTAACCTTAACATCTAAAGTGAAAGCTAACCTTCAACGCCAAACTGCTCAATATAGTTCCCATAATGTACCGTTTAAGTTACACCATTCTGAGCACTGGGTTTAATGGAAGTTTAAGTTGAAAAATTAGCAGATTTTTGCTTTTCATGAAATGTATGGAAAAACTATGTTTTCAGCACAAAAAACTTCATTTACAAAAATAAACTTCCCAACTTTAACCCTCCTCTACACCCAAACCCGACGCTCGAAGTGGTGTAAATGTTTACCTGACATTACGGGGACTATATTGATTAGTTTGGTGTCGAAAGTTAGCTTTCACTTTGAATTTTTAGGTTAGGCGGTGTGTTTTTGGCTAATAGCGCCGTATTTATTTTACAAAATATTGTGAATCTTATTTTTATGCACTGTATTTTGTTAAAGGACAAAAATTAGTTTATGTCCTGTTGTTTTGACAGTACTTTATTCAGATCTCAGCACAAAACTTTATGTGCCATGATGGGGTTGTGATTGTAACAATATTAAAATTATATGTTTGTTTAGTCCACCATTTGTATGGTTAAAGTTCCAGATTTTATTTTATGCTATTGTTTGTTTATGACGTCTCTAAGCCAGTTTTCAAGGATTCTGTGGTGAACAGGATTATCAGCAGATGGATCAAATATGTTGGTGAATAGATTTCTGAATAATTTATTTAATTTGTAAAGCTTTGTGTTGGACGGAAGAAGAAAAAAAATGCTATGATGTCCAGTCTATGTGGTTCGGTTGCCATTAGAATGTCATAAATGTGATTAACTATTTTTTACAGTTGGCAAAATTTGTGTGTGTCTGATAAGTTTTTAATCTATTCCCGAACTTTTATAATCCTGCTGCTAATCTAGTCTACGATAATTTAGTTAATATTAGTTACTTACCTGTGTGATTTTAGACATTTTACTTACACCAGTATTATGTGTTCATTAACCTATTGCTTTTACGACAGCTTTCTAATTTATAGATTAGGTTTAAGTAAATGCACCAAAGATTTGTGTACGTGTGTATACACTAGTAATTATTGTAAGTTTGGTATGTAGAATCAATCAATGTACAATGTAGGAATAATTTATTTGACTGAGGGTGTGACACGTGACAGTGTATTAATGATACAGTTGTGTAAAATACAGCTAAAGTTTGTTTATGTTGATTGTTATTTGCTTGTGTCCGTTATACTTTTGCAAAAATTAGTTTTCCCATTTTTACCCTCAAAACATAACATTTTGCAACTTCTTTAAAAAAAAAATGCGGAACTAAAACAATTGTATATTGAGACTTTTTTGTACAGACAATGAATAGTAACAGAAAAAAACTTTTTAATTAAAATTCCCATATTCTTATGGAGAATAGATGTTGTAGTTTGTTTGTTAGATTGTTAGATTTGTTTTATTGAAATATGGAATTTGACACAATAGAGGACTCATTCAAGTAAAAGAAAATTAATGGAAATTCACTCAGTCTGCAGATTTGAAGCAGCTGGGGTATTTCTTTTATTTGATTAACTAAAAGATTACGTGAGAATGATCAATGAGGTGTCTGATATCCTTTTTATAGGACTGAAAGCGAGTATATTGACTGGGTTTAGGTTGTCTTGGTGTAAGTTTTGACAAAGTATTATTGTCAGTTGCATTGTGTTTTTGCAATTTATTGTAGATTATTTTTGTAAGTAAAATATTTTAAGCTATGTCACATAGATTACAAGATATTTTATAAAAAGAAAAAATGTAATTTTTTTGCATTAGGCCCCACCTCCATCCCCCCAAACAAAATTCTCAAAATGGTGTAAATTTTGAACATAACATTGCCAATTACAGTTTAGTATTTTATAATATGTTTTACAATTTTAACTAATGAGAAAACTGTCACACCTTCTAGTACTATAGCTCAAACAGTATTGAATAATTGATAGAATTGTAAGTAGTATTTTATTATTTTTCCTATTGTATATTTTTTGTTACTCAGTTAAAGGAAATAAAGAACAGTTTTACAAAAAAAGTTCATTTTCTGCTGTGTACAGTGTTATACATTACTGTTATTCCATCACAAATGTTTTCCTTTTTACAAGTCATTAGTTGCAGTTTGTTAATGAGGGGTACATGCCTTTAAAAAACCCCAATATTCAATGTTGAGAATTAATTCCAAATACTATATAAACTTTGTAATAGAGAGTAGTCCATCAAATAGTGAAACAAAATACATGGTTTAGTTTAAGTCTTGACAAGCAAGCATATGCATTCACCTAATGTTAAGGAAAAATACCCTTTTGATCGTCTTAACTCGTTATTGAGATTCAGAAAGTAAAATATTTCTTCAATGAGGAAAACTTGAGTGGCTTAAAGGTGAAGACTTGAAAAGAAAATTAAAGAGGTTTGGCCATTTATTAAAACTAGAGGTCGTCCCTTGGTCGAAAACTCGACCAAAAATATGTTATTTACAGTCTTCTTTATTTTCACCCCACACTGTAAATAAAACATATGTTATTAGAATTTCTTACATTTGTTTTGATTTTCTGTTTATGATTCGTTGTTATTTCGTTACCAGCATGGCAAACCATAAAACCCATGTTAAATTTTTAAAATTCCAAATTCATTTTTTGTGCTTATTTTTGAGCCTATTAGAATTTTTAAAGGGATTCTGCACATCTACAGGAAAATATATTTCTAATAGTATGAGTAGATTTTGCCTACGATGCACACGAGCTGAGAAAAAAGGTTTTAAAGAAACATGCTTGCATATTAATATATAGATAGATAAGATTAGAACAACTTTTAACAGGCTTTTGATTGATACAAATATAAACAATTTTAAAACAGGTCTCCAGCCGATAAATGCCAATGGTCATTATGGAAACAAACATATTTAAAGCCACTCAAACATAATTTACACTTATCCACTGAACAAAGTGTGGATTTTGCTACCCAAGCTATTTATAATACTGAAAGATAAAACTAAGAGAAATACCACACTAGCTTTTTCTAATAGGTATAAAGAGTACTACTTAGTTTTATGAAGTAACTTTCTATTATAGCCATAATTTTGATTTCAAAGTTTTATCTTGAGGTAAAAATATTCAAAAACTCTCATTAAGAAGTCTCAGGTCACAAAGTTTGAACATTACTGGAGTTGTTACCGACTTCCTGTAATTATAACTATCAGACCTCTACCTTTGTAACTCGGGATTGTAATTGTCAAAGAGAGCTCATTTGCGGAGAACAAATCTAGAAGTCTGATGAGCTTAACAAAGAACTCCAAACTCTAATTATTTTGGTAGTATTATGTCATAGATTGATAATTTCAGAAAATTTAGTCATAAAAATGTAGGTATTTTTATTTATGATAAAAAACCTTATACTCTAGGAATGAAAACCATTCTTCATGAAGTAATTTCAATTGTTTTAAAACTTAAAAAAATAATATATTACAATAATTGTTGTTGATAATATTTGGTTTAAATAATAAAATAGTTAAGATTTATTATTATTATATACAATTTGGTCTACTATTGACTTAGGAAACTGCAAGTAACCTCCAAATCTTATGACATTGTAAAAAGTAAAATCTGAAGACTTGAACTATTATATGGTTCTTCCATGCCTATTTGGTTAGGTATTTATTTTATTTTATTTACATATAAATAGGTTTATATAATATACCTTGCGTCATAAATTCTTTAGTCTTGGGCGACTAGTTTCGAAACAGTGAAATTTTCAAGCCTCTTGCCTCACAAAAAATTATTAGAATACTTGATGGCCTACTGCACATTATTTTATGTTAGTAAATTGTATCTTTGTTTGTATGTTTTAAATGTCTTACTTTTGGGTATTGATGACGACAATGTGTTCCAATGATTTTTATGAAGCAAAAGGCTTGACAAAGAAACTGTTGTTCCGAAACTATCGTCCAAGACTAAATTAGGATTGATGACGTTAAGGTTGTAAACCTATTTATATGGGAAAAAATCATTCCTGGAAGAAATTATTAATAAATTTATTTAAATGCTTCAGCTTTAATAAAGTGTTAGCGAATTGAAGCAGCACTTAAATTTAATTTGAACATTGTTCTTCGTGCATTCTCACTTCACTTAGGTGCTTAAAATTTCATGCCATGCACTTAATCTATACTATTATAAAAAAGAGGTGGTTGCTGTATGTGTGTATGTGTGTATGGGAAAAGTAAACTCGAAAAATACTGGTCGGATTGGGCTGAAATTTGGCATGATGATAGCTCACATTCCCGATTAACATATAGGCATATTCTTATTTCAAAAATCCTTTCGGGCTCCGCCCCAGTGGCTCTGGAGTTTCCCATGTTAACCTTATGAGAAATGGAATTATTGAATCTTAACAGCTGTTTCAATTAAACAAGTTGGTTCTGTTCTATGATGTTCAATAGCATTAAAGTTACAAGGATTACCAACAGGGTGCAGCACTATTATTTCTTTTACATTTATGACAACAGCTAATTTGCAACCAAAAGGTGAGTGAGCGTAGCGAACGAACTTCAACCTGGAGGCGAGTTAGCGTAGCGAACGAGCTAACCTGAAGGCAAGTGAGCGCAGCGAACGAGCTCCAACCTAAAGGTGAGTGAGCGTACCGAACGAGCTCCAACCTAAAGGTGAGTGAGCGTAGCAAACAAACTTCAACCAGGACGTGATTGAGCCATGCGAACGAGATAATCTTGAAAATTAAGAAGTTAAACGGGGCAAAGTCCGCGGGTTACAGCTAGTACTAACATAAATAGTTAAATTATTAATGACTAGAATAAAAATGTATATTGAAATAATGTAAATTTAAATAAGGAATACCTAGTACAAATTAATACAAATAAAAAAATACATTTACATATAGTGGTGTTATGGCACTAGAAGAGAAGTTTGTTTCTGCTATTGACGGCGGGCATTTGATTTGATAAAACCGACCGGCCAGCTTGTACAGTTGGCGCTAATATATTTCTTAAAGACATTATTAATAAATATATGTTTGTTTATTGTATACAGGAAAACCTGCCCCATGATTGTTCTCCTCAGGTAACTTTGAAGCTTAAACGTTCTAACAAATCATTATTTAATTTTGTAAGTGTAAATATTTAAACATTGGTAAAATAACAATTTCAAAAACTTCTTCTGATATATTTCCAAAGAATCTTTAAACTCCATAAGGATTCCAAATTACCAAACAACTTGATGCAAGCTAAAATTTGTCTCTCATTTTGAGTAAAATTTAGTTTAGCATTTCCCCTTTTTTTTTAAAAAATATGTAAGTTTAGTTATAAAAGTTAATGAAATAAAACATAAAAATTGACAGAACAATGTAACTTTTGTATAACTACTGGACAAAAACAAATTAAAATTGTCTTTTGGCTGATACAAAATACTGACCAATCGTAGAAATAGGTTGTACGATTATTGATACCCATCAGGAAGAAGGAAAGGGATAAGTTAAATTAATAGCAAGATTAACTTACTAATAAATTAAAATTATTATTGCATTATGATTCAAGTTTTTCATTTGCGATGTAAGGTAGAATACAGTTAATTAATATTTATGACCACACTTATTTCAATTAGGCCTGATTTTACTGCTTACATTACACAACAATCCACTTTATATAGTAATACTGTTTTATACTTGGAATAACAATTTATTTTTGCAGACGCTGTTAAAAAACAAAAGTAGCTTCATTAAACAACGAGTAGTTGAGATGAATAACCAACTTGTTTGGTAAGATAGTATGTTGATTCATTATCAATGTTACAATGCATTAATAAATTAAACAAAAAATTAAATCATTACAGAGCCTTTATTTGACTATTAAACACAATTAAGAGAAATATTTATTGATAAAGGTATTTCAGTAAACGGTAACAAACTTATCAAGAACATACCGGTCAATCATTATATTGAATAATCTCAAGTTCATTTTGTTTTGGTTTTGGTTTGGTAACATTTCAGTTTCCTTAACATAGAATGTGACATATTGTTTGAGTAGCTTTAGTCGTCACCTCAAATCTGAAGATTGCTGGTTCAATGACAATAATAGACAATTCTTGACTCAGATGCCAATTTTTATTAGGCTACCAATTAGTGATGCTATTTAACAATTTGTCGGTGTTAGATACAGTAAAAAATCAAGGTTTTAATTAAACATCTCCTTCACAAAATTGTTGTAGAACCAATCGATCGTGGTAAAACACATAAATTCTAAAAGACCTAAAAAATCTCATGTTTAAGTTTTTTGAAAAGAAAAATACATAGCATCTCTTATTTTACACAGTTATAACTTAATGATATCTCTTAATCAATACTTTATTGACGTTACACATTTAAGCTGTATTTATTTGACACAACTAACTGTCTGTTTCAAGACTAATGTTATCGGATGGTATTACCTTACAACACTCGGTAGAAAAAGTTAGACTGCTGAGAATAGGACTAGGAAGTTGTCTGACTGATTTAGCACCCAACTTTGAAAGCATTATTTCCCAAGTGACAGACTTTACCAGGCCTGCAGGTAATGGAATCTGTTGTCCAAAAAATAACGATTTATTTGTGTAAAAAAACTGTTTAGCATTTTAATTATATGTACTGGCGTATAAACAATCAACTCACTTTTTTTCTAACTAACACAGCCATCTTTATTATATTTTTTTATGAGTAGAGTATATAATAGATTAAAATAGGTACAGTACTATGGATAAAAAAAATATATTTCTTGTTTATCTATACAAAATCTTATTGTTCGCCATAAACATTGATCACCAAGCCAATTTTTCTATGGGAAGTAGCTGAATTGTAACTCTACAGTAAATGGAAATTCACTTTTTCCCTAAGTTGGCGGCAGTATTTAGTTAACTTCTGCCATGCACACTTATAAACTACTTCATCATACTTTCAATACAAAATAATTTTACCAACGAGAGATTCTGAAGAATAGCATAATAGTTTAACTCATAAATTCTTTTACTAAT